AAAAAAAAAAAAAGTACATACAGGCAATGCATAAAGGGAGACTGTGGATGGATTGGCATTTGAAGTGCTAAAGAATAGCTTGTACATTCCAGCTGCAGTGGCATCACCGAGCCTCTGAACAATCACATCTATACATACCTTTAAGAAATTTATCGTTCACTGTCAACAAAACAAGTCCATATTTGTCGAAAAAAACAGACAATGAATGATAGTTGGATTAAACTCCCATTTGTTTCAATGTTGTATCTAAAAGAACTAATGCATAATTGGATTAATTTCAAGAGCTCTTTAAACCGGATACTTCATGAAGGATCTTAAAATCATTATTCAACAACACTTTAAAACCAATTACAGATATTTATAACATAACAAAAAGAAGAAAATGTGATTTTACTTTTTTATTTATTTTTACAAACCTTTGCTTTATACTTCTCATCTTGTGTAACAACAGTGAAGAGTAGCTCCCTTCCGGGTCTAGTGACAACATACATAACTACCTGAAGCATCGAAAGAGCAGAAAAAAAAAAAAAAAATGTGTTGAGCCCTTTCAAGTTTGTAGAAATATACTCGAGAAGGAAAGTAGGCCAGGTAATGAAAAAATATAATAATAACCTTTCGTAAAGTTTCGGATATGGCAACTGCAATCCATGAAGGCCATACAGCTAAAGCAATAAGATTCATAAACCCAACAAATGGTGCGGAGCAAATAGCTGAAGTAACCCCAGCAACTGTAAGAATACGGCCCTGTGAGAAGAAAAAAAAATACATATACATAACTAAAACTTAAAACCATTAATAAGAAACTTAGAAAAGAAGAGAAAATGGGGATTATCTGTTAGGAAAAGGAACTCAAATGAAATAAAACACCACAAGTGTTTAAGAACCCATTGCTTAAAAAATGGTTAACAAATAGTAATACCGTTAAAGTTAACTGTCCGCCAAGGATGAAAACAGCAATAAAGCTATTGATCTGGGCGAACAATTTTCTCCGAGCAACAGGGCTTTCTACTGTACTGGCAATAACAGTTACTTTCTGCAGTAAGACAACAAAAGGTAATAGTAATTTAGAAAACATACCGACACCAAAAGCATCATACACACAAGAAAAAAAAAAAAAAAAAAAAAATTCATTCTAATGGTGGTCATAAAATGTCATCCAGCTGATTTATGTACAAAGCTGAGAAACTGAGGGGATATTATAAGAGTAATAATGGTCCTTAAAATGTCATAAAGCTTTCTCGCCTGGAAGTAGAAGAAAGAGGACACAACTGCACTGAGCCATAGTAATAGTGCAACTTGCAGTAAATAACTTGAAGATAATATGAGCTGAAGTCCTTCAAGTATGGCCCAAAACTGAGTTTTTTCTGTAGAAGGAGAAGATCTAGGGGAAGATGATTTTATAGCAGTTGAACTTTGTTCACTGGTGTCTCTCAGGTGATTATTATCAGCTCTTCTGCAAGCCAAAAACAGTTATAATTATAGAACAACACATGAGGTTCACCCCTACAAAGTTACTTCATCAATTCCATTATTTAATTTTGTAATTTTGTTAGAGAAGACTCACATACTATCACGAGATTGTATTAAATTTAAGTAAACAAATTATGCAAATAAAAAATATATAACTTCTTCCGTGAATGTAAAAAAAAATAAAAAAGACCCAGCAATAATACATTTGCGCAGCTCAATCATTAGAGGTTATAATACTAAGACAAATAAAAAACAAAGGAAATATTTTCCTGTTGTAAAACATGAAACATGACCAAAAATATAGATGAGACCTCAAAGGAGATAGTTCATCTTGATGCTGGGATTCGTCCTTGTGAATTCCTATTGAAGATTGCGCAGCAAATTCCAGCAAGAGCGCAGCAACAAGGAGCAAATCTAAATGAACCAAATTCAAAATCACAAACAAACACACACTCTCATACACAGAGAGAGAGAGAGAGAGGAGAGAGAGAGAGAGAGAGAGAGAGAGAGAGAGAGAGAGAGAGAGAGAGAGAGAGAGAGAGAGAGAGAGAGAGAGAGAGAGAGAGAGAACATACAGGGGCCTAACCAAGCCATTCCAGTGGCAAAAAGTGAACCGATGAGCTGGCCCAGCGTAGCACCAGCACCAATAAACCCAAACAATCTTGAACCTGACTGAAGTCAAGAGAGTAATTATGCACATAAACCACAAGGCCTTAGAAACTAGACTAAACAAACTACCATCCTACGTGCTCCAAAGCAAGAGGTCCAGAAAATAGTTGCCTGTCCTGTTTGAAATTCTAGCTCTTAATCAATCATTTAACAGTTTCCAACCTGACTGAAGTCGAGAGAGTAATTATGCACATAAACCACAAGGCCTTAGAAACTAGACTAAACAAACTACCATCCTACGTGCTCCAAAGCAAGAGGTCCAGAAAATAGTTGCCTGTCCTGTCTGAGATTCTAGCTCTTAATCAATCATTTAACAGTTTCCCTCAGTTGAGATAATATCATAAAGCATTACATTAGATTTCAACCGGAAAAGGTAAACACGAACCTCACTGTCCATCACGTCAATTACTCTGGCCCATGTAGATGAAATGGTTATAAGATTAAGCAAAGCAATCTGTTGACAGGTTATCTTGAATGAATAAAACTTGAAATAGTATCAAAATTTGAAGAAGTAAAGAAAACAACATTTTACCCAAAGGAACAAGGCAATCCTAACTGCAATATAAAACCACCCGTGGTTCTCCCAGCCAGCAGAATTTGTCGGGATAGTTTGATTAAATGCAACCTTCAGCTCTCCCTTTACAGTGGAGTTCAATTTACGCATTTCCTACACATCGAGATTCGCCCGTATAATATCAAAAGAGACTTAACACCAAACTATTGAAGAATCACACTGTTATGTACTTGCCCTGTCATCAAATTTTGAACTTCCAGGTGTAGAAAGAAGCCATAGAATGAAGAAGACAACTAGTGACAAGCTGAAAAACCGGTGTATCAAAACCAAAGCCTGAAAACAAACAGAAGAAAAACAAAATAGAATACAAAA